TCTCCAGTGGGAATTGAACTTGTACTCAACCGCTTGGGGGTGTGACAACTTCACCACTTCACTAAGTCGCCACACCCGTCCTAAGGAATATTATGTATGATATTTGATGTTAATTTATAATAATATAAAATAGAATAATATCTATCATTATCTGGCATGAGTATGTCATATATATAATTTGTTTTTACATTTGTATCACCTATTTCTTTATCATTTTGCTCTGCACAATATTCAACTCCAATCATTCTATCAATAAATATAATAAAAAATATCATAAAAATAAAGGTGATATTATAAAATGAAAATGAAATAATTATCATATCCATTGTTCTCTTTATTAATAATTTTAATTTCGAAGTAAAATTTCATACACTTCAAAGGAATTGGATAATTTATAATAGCTTTATTTTTATCAGAACCTTTAAAAGTTTTTGATAAATTAGTTGAACTATCAACAATTTATGCTCAACAATTTGAGATATTAATCTGTTTCAATGTTTATTTACCTGTATAATTCACTTTAAGTTCACTTGAATCTATATTAATATATAGCGATTTATTTTTAACCCATGCATTCAGTAATACAATATCATGGTATTGAGTTGGCAATTTTAAATCTTTCATTGAGTTAAAATTTTCTCAGTTTTTTTATAATAAATTCTGCAAACGCATAGCTAATAGAATTGGTGACTTTGTACGTGTATACTAGTATTTATAACTAAACACAGTATAGTATATATCTCATAGATAAAAGTTCGTCTAGTTAGCTAGTTTCAAAGATCAATTTGTGGACCTACACGTGATTATTAACCAATCAAACTACATAATTTACAATTCGTAATTACAATAAAAAACAAAAACCTCAAGAAAAAAATTTGTATAAATTGATATATACACATAAATTTTAAAATCATTATATTATACACATATAGAAGACAGATAGACATATACAGAGTAAAAAAGTAGAATTCACTTCCAAAACAACCCTAAATGATTACACACTATATAGATTTATACAATCAATAAACTCAAATATACTTTAACAAGTCAAGTAATATCTTAAATATAAGTCTATCTCTTACATGAATACAAAGTTTGCTTTGCTTCAAACATAACTCTTAAAATTTCTAAAAAAAATGTAGCTATTTTGTTAGTAACTGTTTTGTTTTAGTGCATTTTAAGATTTCAATGAAGCTTTTTTTTCTTTACCTCTTCTGAAATATCATGTCTAAGCTAACTTCTCTAAATATAAGATTATAAAAGATTAATTTTAAAGTTAACTTTCTAGCACTCTTCTGAAGCTAAAAATGATATTTTTGACGATTTGTTACTTGTGTAATTTTACATTCCACAAAAGTACTTTAAATAAATTACTCAGGCAATTGATTTATGCTAGCCAATCAGACGAATTTCTGTCTATAAATATCAGATATATCTCTAAAATATTTATGAAAAGGTGTGAGGTGGGTCAGAATTAGAGGTTTGGTCCGATGGGTGTTTAATCGAAGACTAGTAACCCGAACAAATTTCCTTATGTCAAGAAAATCTTGGGGCTGCAGACTATTTCAGATTTGGCTTCGAACTCTGATTAAATCAAAATTTGTTTGTTAAAATTAGGTATATTTTGCTTTTTTTGCTTTTTGGTTCTTTTTTCATCACTTTTTTGGTGTTTCTTTTATCACTTTTTTGATGCTTCTTTTGTGTTCTTTTGATATCTCTTTTGTTAATTTTAGCTGCCTTTCATTTTTTTTTCATTACTTTTTGGTGTTTATTTCAATACTTTTTTTGTTGCTTTTTCAGTATTTTCATTGCTTTTGTTGCTTTTTCGATACTTCTTTGTTGCTTTTTCAGTACTTCTTTTATCATTTATTCGGTACTTCTTTTATCATTTTTTTCAGTACTTCTTTTATCGCTTTTTCAGTGCTTCTTTTATCATTTTTTTATTGCTTTCGTCTTTTTCAGTGCTTCTTTTGTAGTTTTTTTCATTGCTTTCATCACTTTTTTAGTATTTTTTAGCCACTTTTTCATTAATCTCAATGTTGACTTTAACGTTAAAGCCAAAGTTAACCCAACATTAAAGTTAACATTGAAATCAACATTGATCTTAATGTTAACCTCAATATTAAAATCAACATTGATTTCAAAGTTGATATTAACATTGAGATCAATGTTGATTTCAATGTTGAAATTAATATTAAGACCAATGTTGAGGTTAACATTGAGATCAAAATTAACTGTAACATTGAGGTTAACATTGAGGTCAATATTGACTTCAACGTTGACTTTAATGTTGGAGTTAACTTTGATTTTAATGTTGAAATCAATGTTGATTTAACATTAACTTTAACATTGAGGTTAATATTAATTTTAACATTAACTTTAACATTGAGGTCAACATTGATTTCAACGTTGATTTTAACATTGAGGTCAACATTGACTTTAATATTGATCTCAACATTGATTTTAACATTGACTTCAATGTTGAGATTAACGTTAGCTTTAATGTTGACTTCAACATTGAGGTTAACATTGAGGTCAATATTGATTTTAACATCATTTATATTAAAAATGATTAGTAAAATATACAGTTTAATAAAATTTTTAAAAATTTGTATGTTTAAATAAAAGCTTTAATTGTTAATCCATCTATCAACTAGAGAATAGGTGAAATGTAGTGTGCTTCATCTAAAACTTTTTTTCTTACTAAGTTAATGATATATGGCTACTAATTGAAAGTTGTAGAGCTTGTCAAGATGCATCTAATGGGCAGTTATATCATCCAAATAGGCCCAGTAGATAGCAAGATATCATTGAAAAATGATTGCCCGACTATATAAAAATCTGTAATGGAAATTACATATGAAAATCACTATCGGCGAAATGTGGAGTGCTTCCATCTAACACTTTTTTTCTTACTAAGTTAACAATACATGACTATTAATTGAAAGTTGTAGAGCTCGTCGAGACGCATCTAACGGTGGTTAGATCATCCAAATCGGCCTAGTCAATAGCGAGATATCGTTTAAATGATTGGCCAACTATATAAAATCTCTATGTAAACAAACTTTGTTTATATAGAGATTTTATATAGTCGGCCAATCATTTTTCAACGTTATCTCGCTATCGGCTAGGCCGATTTGGATGATCTAACTATCGTTAGATGCATCTCGATGAGCTCTACAACTTTCAATTAGTAGCCATATATCATTAACTTAGTAAGAAAAAAAGTTTTAGATGGAAGCACTTCACATTTCGCTAATAGTGATTTTCATATGTAATTTCTATTACAGATTTTTATATAGTCAGCCAATCATTTTTCAATGATATCTCGCCATCTACTGGGCCTATTTGGATGATATAACCACCGTTAGATGCATCTTGACAAGCTCTACAATTTTCAATTAGTAGCCATGTATCATTAACTTAGTAAGAAAAAAGTTTTAGATGAAGCATGCTATATTTTGCCTATTCTCCAGTTGATAGGTGGATTATCAATTAATAGTAATAATAATAAAAATAAATAAATTTGTATGTTTTAAATAAAAGTTTTAACAGTAATAATAAGTGCAATAAAGTTTATATGTGTAATTAATAAAAAAATAAATAAAATTTTATAGATTAAGTTGGATAAAAACTTCAAAAGTTTGAAAAGTTTGTGTGAAGATATTTCAGTAACTAACCAACCAAATTTTATAGTATTTTTTTTATTTTAATTTTATGAATATACAAAATTAAAATAAAAAAATTTTTATAAAATTTGGTTTAAGATAACTTAAATTTCAATAAGGCAAGTATTAATCTCCAAAGCCAAATTGGAAGTGATTTGTAGCCTGAGATTTTCTTGACATAAGCATACTCTGACTTGAACTATCTAAAAAATTCTAATCTGGTATCACAAGAAATTTTGGCAATCCTTAATTACTTCATAATTTATTAATTATTATGTATATTATATTTTTCTTTTTATATATATGTTATTGTTATTTATTGTTATAGATCATAATGAAATCAGATTAAAATGAAATGAGAGGTTTCTATTTGACTCTCTAAAACCCATTTATACTTGTTTATTATAAAACCTGCTTCTAAACCCTAATTCTAACCTAAAAAAATGCTAAAAAAATGCACCCCAAAAATTTGTATTTTTTAGTGACTTGTCTATTTTATACTATTGCTCATTTCATTTTAATCTAATTTATTTTAATTTACCACATTTATTACTTCATTTTTATTATATTTTATTACTTTATTTTGTTATATTTTTATTATTACATATTCACTACATATATATTACTACATTTCCCTTATAACTTTTTCTACCTGATAATTGAGATCTGTATATAAGAAATTGCTTCTGGACAATAAAAATAGATAAAAAAGATAGTTCTCAACAATATCTTAAATTAAGCCTTTTTATAATAATTGCTCTTCCAACAATACCTAGCTTGCTGTTCTATAAGTAAATCCTACCTATCTTTTATATTTACAGTTCTGACTAAATTAGCCTAGATTCCTTAAATGCTCTCCTAAACTGTAATATTTTGGTACTAATTGTGTAAATTGAGCAAAAGCTGAAACTATACTGTGTTATAAAAAAATAAAAATAAAATATATTAAGTCTGGTAAATAATAGCAAGGTGATTAATAAAAATGGAAACCCCTGTAAAAAAAATAATGGTTTAGTGAATAGTTAACTGCAGCAATTGTTACAAGCTATAATAAATATTTTGGTACAACTCCAGAATCTTCAAATGAGTTTTGAGAAAATAAATTATATAAAAATCTTTACATTTGCAGGAGAAAGCCAAAACCCAGTAGAGTGGTTGGAATCGGTAAACAGAGCCTTCGAGGCTAATAATATTGTAGGAGCAAGAAGGCTGTCTGTGGTTGGTGCTTACTTGTTTGATCTTGCCACTTTCTGGTAGAAAAATCATAGAAAACAAAAGCCTCAAATTTCATCTTGAAGTAATGAACAGGCCCTAGAACAAAGTTTGTACAATAATTCTGTCAGAGGTTTACATCCAAGCATTAATATTGCAATGGAATGCGAAGTTGCTAACCTATTACCAAGATTCTGAAGTGACTATAAACCAGTATGTCACGAATATGTTGGTGCTGTTTTATCAATTAGAAAGAGTAGAAAACCAGTACCCCCAGGTTATAAAAATACAAATATTTGTATAATATCTCTGTTCTAATTTGTCTTTGGCCGTTGAACTCTTCATGCCTAAAACACTTAAAGAGGTTATTGATAGGGCCTGAGCTTGTAAAGAAATTTTTGCTCGAAGGGTAGTTGTGTGTGGTTTTTCTGCACCATATAGCTTAATAGTATGTATAACAACTCTTATGCTACCATCATCATCCTGAATAATATATCCTGTAACCCAGTCTACAACGCATCCCATAACCCAACAAACCATACTGATCTAGCTCTTGAATAATCTGATAGAACAAGTTTTGGCTCTACTACAAGATGTAGTTATAACGGTAGATAATAATAATGTTAACAATAGCAATTCTCGTTCCTTATCAAATAAAGTATAGTATTAAAAGACAAACCAACCATCTGTGTGCTTTATTGATTAACAAGTAGAACATATTGCCTATGAGTGTTCAAACAATAATCATATTAATAATTCTCTAACTCAAAACCAAAATAATATCCCGTCAATAACAAAAGAATCATAAAAGAAACTCTGATAGACAAACAATATTAGCCCAAACCCAAGATGCCTTTAAGTATTTGATGATTAGTCACCATCAAAAGTTCACCAAATTGAGCAATAATGATGTAATATACAGAGTTGATCATTGTATAGAAACAGTGTTGATTATAAAGCCTTTGGACAGTGTTTAAATGATATCGATTCAAATAATCAACCTAGTCATGGAAGCTATAATGAAAGGTCAAATGTTGAAGATAATAGATCATATAAGCATAACTGTTGTAGTGAAAATAGAAGTCAGATAAATGTTAGTGCAGCAAATAAAAAGGTTGAACATGAAACATATAATCTTGTACATTGTAATGAAAATGGAATAAGAGTTAAAAAGAATAGAATTGGAGTCGAAGAGGGTAAACATAAGGTATTCAATTATTGCCAAAAGCCTGCTGATGAATACAAAACCTCGAGATAGTGTTTGCAAAGTCCAAAAGGTAACCTGCATAAATATTATAGTTTTTGAATCAGCTATTAAGAAAGAATTGATATGAAAAAGGATAAGCCCAAAGTGTGGAGTATGAAGTGTACTAAAAAAGAAGGATCAACAGAAGATAATAATGATGAGATAAAACCAGAAAGACAGTTTGAAGAAGTAATGAAACGAATCAAAGAAGATAAAAATAAAAGCATTAAGAACAATGAACAAAGTGGTGCGGTCATGATGAAAAATATGGATGAAGATAAAAAAGAAGTTGAAAAAGGTAAAGAAATAAGAGAGGTTGTTAGTACAAGTAGTAAAGAAGTACAACACATGAGCAATAAAGAAATTGAAGACTTACCCGGATCGAATAGCAAAAGAAGGTTCATAATCAATGTTCGAAGGCTTTTCCATACCCTCTTGAGCAAATTTATTAAAAGATTGTTTATCCACAATAATTTGGGTAACCATGGAAAATGGATGAGCATAAGGATATTATAAAAAAAAAAAAAAAAAACAAAAAAAAAAACACACTGATTGAAAAGTAATTGTAGCCAAAGTGTATGTGGACGTTCATGATAGTTGTATGCGGGTAAGGGGCGTGCAGCAAGATCTCGACAGATGTGAAAAAAAAAAAAGGCTGCAGGAAAATTTTAGTCATGTGATTCATGGACCTCGATGTTTGAAATTGAAAAAAAAAAAAAAATCGAGTAAGATTGTTGAATAGTGAATGGGATTCGACGGAGCTCATCCTTGAGTGGGAGAAAATGTCACGGGAAATTTTGGCAATCCTTAATTACTTCATAATTTATTAATTATTACGTATATTATATTTTTCCTTTTATGTATATGTTATTGTTATTTATTACTTCATTTTTTATTATATTTTATTACTTCATTTTGTTATATTTTTATTATTACATATTCGCTACGTACATATTACTACATTTCCCTTATAACTTTTCCCACCCGATGATTGAGACCTGTATATAAGGAATTGCTCCTGGACAATAAGAATAGATGGAAAAGATAGTTCTCAACGATATCTTAAATAAAGCCTTTCTATAATAATCGCTCTCCCAACAATACCTAGCTTGCTGTTCTATAAGTAAATCCTACCTGTCTTTTATGTTTACGGTTCTGACTAAATTGGCCTAGATTCCTTAGATGCTCTCCCGAACCGTAACACCGGTGCTATCAACCGTATTGCTTATCCTTATTTATTTCTTATCCATTATTTTTATTACCTGCAAGTTACTCATTTCTACGTATATTTATATATTATCATCCATATCGTATACGTACGTACGTAATTGTAAATGCAAATATTTAAATATTTACCATTTAATATCTTTTACTCAAATAATTTGATGCATGGCGTGAAGAACATTTATT